GAAATGTTCATGAAATATCTCCCGACAAAAGACTGGAAGGCTTGCTGCATTGCCCTGTCGTCATTGGAATATGGAGCCGTTTACAGTCACCGAAGAATCTCAAGAAGGTCTACCGTAATTGCTTCAATTTGAAACAACGAGTAATTGCATTGGCCGAGTCACTGGTGTACAACTTCTCCAGTGAGAGTGGCTCTGGTTTTCAAAATCTCTAACTCAGTTATTAAAGGCAGGTGGCACGATAAATTGGGCGTTGGAGAAAGGGGATGTGTCTACTGTAAAAAAAGGCGGGCCCTTCAAGAACCTGGAGTGGCGTTTTTGCGGCGAAAGGTGGCACCCGTAGCAGCTTAGCAAGGTTTGGCCCGTTCCTCTAACGCCTTCGTGCCTCTGATCGCTCACGCATTGGCTACCCCTGCCGTTGATCACTCGCTGTCGTAATTCAGGTGTTTTAGCACAGGGTCAGAACAGAGCGTGCACGGTGAGACACACCAACGATGAGATTCGTCTAGCGCGGAAATTAAGAGATTCAAAGGGTTCTGTTTTGTGAGTTTTAGGCCATCTCCTTCAGTTTTTCCACAGCTCGATTCCCTTCTCTGCCCCTTCGATAAATCGGCTTTCGTTGAGAATGATGGCGATGTCAGACTTTGCGAATCGAGCGATTCGCTAGCGTCCGCGGTCGCGTCGCGGCCAGCGAATCACTCATTGGCTGGTACCGCAACGCGACCGCGACGCTAGCGAATCGCGCGATTCGCAAAGTCTGACATCGGCCTTTAATCGCTGCTACGACGGGTAAGAAAAAACTAAGGGAAACAGCCTAAAGCTACGAAAGAAAACCTTTGTGCTTCTTGATTTCTGCGCTAGGCGTTCTATTCTCACTCCTAACCAAAAGCACTAGTGCACTCTCTATTGTTTACGGAAAGATTAAAAGACGTCAGAGGATTGAGCTTGCGTGGGGGGGTGAGCTCAGCGCTAGCCATTGTGCTACTTTCGCAGTTTAGTAATCGACGATTTTCAAATTTTCTACTTTGTCAGTCAGCTGTGATGCCACATCATCAGCTTTCAGAAGATGGAAGGGCCTGAGGAGTTGAACTGCAGACTGTGCACGCATGAGTGTTGGCTCCGTAACCATTGTGCTGTCTCCGCATCTCGCAGGTGAGCTTTTTGGCTAATTCAATTTTTGAAGTCTATCGTGGCGTAGAAAGCTCAATATACATATGTATAGGGGGTAACTGAAAAAGGGACACTATATAACGGACATCAGTAAGCTTTACTTCGCACAGGATGTTGTACTTCATGGAGGTCTCTAAATGTCTCTATCCCCCCGCGTTCGACAGAACTAGGCTCCTTTTATTGCACTCACTCATTTATTAGAATATGGTGTCACCTCCTATCGCCTCAAGCTTACAAGGGAGGTCGTTCAGGGTGTGCCAAGCTTTTTCAAAATGGTTTCTTGCATGACATTGGGGCACATATGGGGACCACAGAACCATGGTTCATTTTTCCTGAACGGCCCTCTGAATACCAGAAAAGGGGTCCCTAGTTCGATTCCTCGTGGTGACAAATTTTTGCATTTCGAGTTGACGTTTCCAAAATTCGCGCAAAATGGAGTTAGCATGAAACCCTGAAAGACCTTCCTTGTTAGAAGCATACTGTAGTTGCTCCAGCCTGAAGCTGCTCACAATTTCCCCAAACAGATGTGGAGCTTCCTACAGGCAGTAGCTGTGATTATGCAAGGCCCAGCGGACCAGCATTCCAGACGAGACCCGTCAAGAGAGTCGCTGAGTTCAAGCCATGTATTATGTTCCTGAAGGAGATTCTTGATGTCGCCCGTGTAGAATGAAGGCTATTATAAAGTTGTACAACAATATGGAATGTGTCTTTCAATTATCTGATGAAATAATCTGGTTTGAATGTAGCGAAGTACTTACTGAACCGTTTTTGATAGTGGAGGGCAGTGTTTCTGTTGTTTTTTGGTAGCTCCTGTGCATAGTTTTCTTTCTGCCGCCGGGCATGGCGTCATGGCGGACTCAGCAACAGCAGCAAGGGGCATCAGCTAGCATCATAAGCGTTGAACGAAACATGTGGTATTGATTTTTTCGAGGCCATTGTCACATATACTGCTGGCTCTGCGATTACGATATGCCTGGCCTCGAAGAACGTAGTATACCTGTCGTGATCACCACATCAGCACTGAGAGTCGTTCCAATGAGGCATGTGTTTTCGTCTGGGCAAATGACACACGGGAGGCTGTCGACCCTCTGCAGATTACACAATGTAATTAACAGATCAATGTAAACACGGCTTCGCGTTTCTAATTAAAGTGCTTTCTTAATCGGCTTGGATCCGAATTACCGTGGCGATTAGCCTCCCACTCACGGCCTAACGCGCTCTAGCAAAACTCAGAAGTATTCTGATAGGCCGACTCTTCGCGCCGCTGATTAGACCCTACTGATATCGGCCCTTTTAACGTGCATGGCACTCTCTTTCAGCTTTCATGTCGCCTTTTAACGTCTCTTACAAAATACAGCGTAGAATGTAGAAGCAGTTTAACAAAGGTCCCTAACAATGGCAAATATTCATAGTTTGATTTTGAAAGTGGAAATTATTTTGTTGATCGAAGTATTTAGAATCCTAGGGGTATTCCAGCAATGTAGATGAAAGTTGGAATCAAGTTTTCGGTCTTGATCATTCATTTTGAAGATCGCCACGCACTCTATTTCCCTATCAGATTCCAAACACCCCTTCTAGATTTCTGTACATCGTGGTTAGCTTGCATTGAGCAATACCCAGCGAAAATTCCCACATAAGCTCTCTGTTGCTTGTGTTGAGCCTTACATTGACTTCCTACTTCGATAGAAGTATCAATTTTTAGCTAAAGTTCTAGTTATCTTCACTTCTATAAATCAATTCTGACACAATTTCGTTGATCGATAAGACTTTTACTTTTTTAAGCTCAATTATGGTGTTGTACCCATTGTCAGAATATGTAATAACAGTTTGAAAAATCGGAATTTTCCAAAAAAGCTTAGAAGGCTTGAAAAATCTCATATCCAAAAACTCCCTGCAACATCTCGGTTCTCAGGCCTTTCGTCAGGACTGGAATAGTACTACCTTTTACTTACAATGAGATATTATAGTATATGAAGTTTGAACGAACACATACCTTTTAACACGGTAATTTATCATTCATAATTACTGGTTCATCGTATTTCTCATTGATTTATGTATGCAAGTCATTATTATTTAGACATTTTACTGAACCATGTTTTTGATGCTTCAGACTATTTATCTGTGCTGAGCCTCAGTTATTGCGAATGTGGTGTAGTGACAAGTGGCGCGCTTACCACGCGAGCGGTCCGGGATCAAATCCTGGGTCGTGAGTCGCCCGGGCCAACCAAGCCTTCCATCCCTCCGGGGTCGGTTAATTGGTACCAGACTTGTCTGGGAGGATAAAAACACTGACTTGTACATCGGCTGGCCCCCGCAAGTCATTGTATAGGCCACATCGCATTCAAACGCCACTGCGAATGTACAAATGGAAGTAGAATGCGTGCCGCATTCCCAAGAGCTTGATTGATTCAAATGCGCAAATGCTATTCTTTTATCATTTTATCCTTTCGCCTGTTCAATTATCCGGTGAGAGTTTTATTGACAGTTGAAATCGGATCAAAGTAAGTTTGAGAAGGCTTTTCCACCATATGTGAGAGGCTACACCGATCCTAAATAAATGTATGTTACATATCAAAAAGCGTCGCCTGCGCGTTACCCGCTGAGTGATGGATAGGAGCTCATCGTTACCCCTCTTCCACTTCCTCTTACTAAGGCAGTCGTTCATGGTGTGGCCCCACTTTTCAATATTGTTTCTTGCGATGACAGGCACAATATTGGGGACCAAAGCCAGGTGCATTTTCCTGACGGCCGCTTCTAATACCCCCAATGGGTCCCCTATTGATTCCTCGTGATTACGAACATAATTTTTGCATTTCTAGCCGACGTCTCGGAATTCGCGCAAAAAAAATTAGTGCCATATTCATGATTAGGACCGTCAGTAACCCTTACAGAATAGACTTTGATTGAGAAACTGGTGAAAAGGTGTGACTAGGGACCCCCTTTTCTGGTATTCAGAGGGCCGTTCAGGAAAAATGAACCATGGTTCTGTGGTTCCTGCATGTGCCCCTCCATGCAAAAGACCGTTTGAACTTGCCACATCCATTCGGAGACGATGGTTCTCCGTTATAGGATGTTATCGTTACTTGATAGACAATCGGTTTTCGAATGCCGTAACATAACGCCTATCCTGCCTCGTTCGAAATTGCCTTTGATGTGAGGGTTGAGAAACCAAGAATTTGGAAGAAATGGCATGAGTGTGTGGTGCTCTGCAAGGAGAATTATTTTGCTCTGTAACTTCGTCTCCGCCCCCTCCCACCACTACATTATGGCTGACCGAATCTTATGGCACAGATTTGAAGGGGCTCTTCAATGGCATGTCGAAGCCTCGTAGGGTTATTTATAGTGGAGCAGGTTCACGGCTCATGAATTCTACCAATAAATTTTTACCAGTTTAACAGAGAATTAATGGGCCGCGACCCATTTTACACTATATGGAGGTACTTTGAAGTACTAGGACTATGGATCAAACTGGGAGATGTATCTGAGTGCATTGTCAGTGACATACTGCCGATAGAAGCAGTAAAGAGCACTGAAAAAGTGCAATTTTCGCCAGATGAAGCTTCAATTATATCATGTTTTAAGCGCGATTGATGTCTCATAAATCAAGCACGCTCCGGTCGATCGATCATGTAGCCGAAATTGATTATCTGATTGAAAAAATGATTGTTTTCTTGCTCATTTACAACTGGGTATTGATTAGTGCTTGGAATCGCTCAAGAGACATTTCAGCCTTCTCGCATGGCAGTTTCTTTGATACTCTAATTGGTTGCCGTTTAGAGCTTGTTTCGCGACAGAAATCGTGCTTGATCTATTCGCCTAGCCCTGAGTAGGTTATGTGGCTTGTAGTGTGGCTATTACTAGCCATACCGCAACCAACGTGGACAGCACTGGACACAGCCGCAGTGATCGCCATTCAGAATGAGCTCAACAAGCATGCCACTGAGTTGGAAATGCTTCTGGAAGTCGGTGAATGTTTTTAGCCGAGTTTTTGAGAAGCAAAATCAATAACTATCTTAAGCATGTGAAAAACCTGAACGCCCGTGTCAGTGAGCTCGGACGCCCTGGTCCGCCAGGAATCAATGGATCGCCAGGATTTCCAGGAGTGAAGGGCGAGAAAGGCGAAAGAGGCATCGATGGTGAGGATCATGTGCTTTGAATTTTTTTCGACCTATTTTCCCTTTTCGAGTGTCAGGTTTCAGTCATGTAGCTATTGCAGTAGAGCGTACTGGGTTTGTGTGGAGTTTTCAGTTATTTTTTTTACATTGGCACCGCAGTGTTTATCAAGAAAAGCAGCAATACTGCCGCATCTGGTTGAACACTCCAGGCCAAAAACACTAACTCATTGACCGCGCCGCGACCGCACGCGTCTCAAGCCGGTTGTCTCAGAGACAATTGCTCTCCTGGATTTCACATGAGTTCTTGCCGTATATTCAGGGATTCCTGGCAAGGCTGGAATGCAGGGTATTCCTGGCATGAAAGGTGAAGCCGGACCAATGGGCCCAACCGGAATGAAAGGCGACAAAGGCAGCACGGTTTGTGCGTCTACATCTTTACTAATTAACTCGTTTTGTTGTTGTATTCACTTTATTTCTAGGTTTTCTTATGCATTGGATATTTTTCTTCGATCTCTTATGTCAACAAGTTAGGCTCCCTAACTTAATTTGCATAATTTTTTCGCAATTATTGAAAACTGCACCTCACTCCAGATCGAAGTTCTTAAGCCCATATAAATTCAGGGCTACCCAGGACAGAAAGGGAGAGATCGGTGCTGGTGGTATACCAGGAATGAAAGGTGACACTGGAATTCCAGGAAAGGTGACCGTTTAGACCGATTATTGCTTTTTTTTTACTTTTCATTAATCTTAGGACATGAGGTGGCCGATTATACATAGGTGGACTTCTCAAAATGCGCCATCTCCGCTTTCAGTTGAACTCGTGGGAAATTGTGAGTCCATAGCAGCACAATAAATCTCGGAAAGCAGCCAGTATTTGACTTAATGTTTTTGTTATTTTAAGGCTGCTGCCATTATTTAATCTACCCGGGCTGGATTGGTCTGACTACGATAAGATTCTTTAGTGATGAAAAGTGTAGTCGTAGATCTTTTTGCCAATAACCCGACTCTATTTATTTACGCGCGCATAAACACGGTGGCATAGCTGAAGTCCCACAGAAATGAGTCACCGCAGTAAGCTTATGGTTAGTAGAGTTGCCGTTTGATCATGGTGACCTCGAGGCGTAAGCAACAACCATCGTGAGGTCAGGTAGGTTCAATCGCCCCTCAGCAAAAATCTACGAGTGGATGAGAGTGGGCATTAAGGATTTTTGAATGGGGGTCGTATTTCAGGTTTTGTGTATTTTTATTGTGACATAGGTGAAGAGGGATCGCATAAGAGATCTTCAGAGGGAGTCGTGGTGGCGAAAGTTGAGGAGTCATGTTGTAGTGGAGTAGTTTTTTGACGGTTTCTCTTCACAATCTTCACGAGAAATACGTCTCCTGGACGTATTTAGGCCGCCACGCTCGCCGTTAGGTAACCCTCCGCCATCTCAACGTAGCCGTCCAGCTGAGATAGCGTTAGCGTTGAAGAGGGCAGCACCGATGAGAGTTGCCCTTTCCGAAATGCGGGAAACAACAGTCAGGAAGAAAGGTCTACCCCTGTGCCTTTTAGCATGGTTTTTTCTTCATCCCTGCACCACTGATCGTCACTACCAT